TTTGCCCATGCTGTCAAACTTGTGCCTCAACTTCGATCGAATGTTTTACATCTGCTTGATTTCTATTGTAGTTGAAAGAAAGGTGAAAATATTAGAAAAATTTCTGAAAACAAAGAAGTTTCTTGTCAAGCAGAAAAAAGACGTAGATATTTTAATAATTGTTTTTCTTGTTTTCTTTTTAGTTTTAATTCTATACTTGTTCAATTATGTACGCTTGTGTTTTTATTTCATATAAATAACTGTTCCGTTTAAGGCAAATAAAAGTGCTTATTACGTTAGAATTTTGGATGTTGACAGTTGCGATTGAGACTAGGCATGCACTGAGCGCGACTACTCCATTGTTCCAATTTATTATCAAAACCGAAATATAGGATCGGTGACCATTCTTTGAATAACTGTTCAACGAACGTAGATGACGGCTCGCGGTTTTCGCTATTCGATAGTCAGGGCTTAAGAGCACGTTTTTAGAAAAAATATTTAGAAATGTTTTTCAAAAACCGGTTTTCAAGGAGATCTCTGAAAAACCGTTTACTAACTGGAAAATTTAACATAGCAATATATTGATTTCTTTTCGTGAATAGATAGACTGAAGTATCCTCCACAAAACAGAACCTAAGCGAGAGCTTCATCTGCCATGGTTACGCAGGAGATAAGATTTTCCTGGGAGCCCTAGGACTGCTCTTCATTTCAGTCAGTGAGTGTCAGCAATGCATGGCAAGATAAGTTTTGACTACCGGGTGATCCAAAAGTTTTGCAATATCTTATGTTTTTCGAATATTTCAGCCTAGATACAACATAGATTATTCAATATGTTTTCAAAAGATGCCCAATTTAATTCTCTACAAAATTCATGTTGACTATATTTTGCAGTGATAAAATTCTAAAGTTCTAAAGGTCAAACACTTCGATGGAATCAAATTCGACTACTTCCCATTGAATTTTGCAATTGTTCGTGTGTAGAATTTCAATAAATATCGGGCTCATAACATACGACTCACCAATAGATAGTCCTTAAAAATATCTAGTGATTGCATGCATATATTCAGATATTTTCACCGCTAGTTTCTACTTGTTGAATGACAATTTTTTCTGAAAGTCATATTTCGAAAAATAGCGCGATTTTCGCCTTCCAGCTGCTCTCATTAGAAAAAGATTATGAGAAAGCCGTTTATAGTCAAAAAAAGATCATTAATATAAAGTTTTATAAATAATAAAACAATTTACCTTTCTTCCTACCACAAAAACAGTAAACGAACGTTTTATAGGGTTAGGAAATAGTTAACTGCTGCAAAGAAGCGATTTTTATGATCAAAACTAAATAAAAGAGTTTCTGCTACGAACCGGGTCGAGAAGATCTTATTTATCTCTGAAAGAGCTGTTGATGCACTATCGAAAAATGAATACCTGATCTTCTCAGTATTTATCGTCAGCACAAAAGAGATTCGCAAAACATCACCCAGTATGTTGAATCTCCACGCAATATTCGTTTTTAAAAAGAGATTTTAGAAACTAGCGAAAACCAAATTCTTCAAAAACGGATTACAAAATCGAAAAAATTAAAAAATGATGTTTGCGTCCGAAGGTTTTTCAGAAACCCGAAAATCGAAGTAGCTGTTTGTTCTTTATTTAAGATAATTTCGACGACGATATGAAAGTGATAAAAGATGTTGTCAATAGCGTGGAGCAAAATTACATTTTGTATGCTGACAACGTCGTTCAGTCAATAACGAGCAACAACAGTGGCCGTAGTTCGACACAAATTGCAACCGATGGGTTGCGCCACTTGCATCAGTATAGCACTGTTTTTTCGAAACCAAAATGATATACGACAATGTTTATTAATACATTTCGGCTATGGGGATGAGTATTGTAAAGTCATATGGAAAAATCTGTTCCAAAACGAGGCACTGAAAAAATAAAAAATTTCACTTTAACTCTCGTCTCGAAACACGATCTTATAGATTTTTAGATAAGGTTTCGAAGAAGAGAATCATTGGAAATCGAAAGGAGATCGATTTCATATTATTTAGAACGCATATAAGAATATGAATACCCGTTCCTGTTTTGAGATGTTATAGTAGTGTGAAGATCTGAGTGACGTTGTACTCATTAGCTGGATTTCACTTATTGAAAAATAAATGAATTTTATTATTATTTTTAGTAAAGCTGTGCTGAACACATTTGTTAGGTATCGAGCAACATCCGATATTCCAAGCTGAGCATAGTTTTAGTATTTATAATCTGCTCGATATTGCTGATTCGATTCAGCGTTATTTTATGTTTGACTATGGACAAATTTTGTTTTTCGATAACTAAAGCTTCTTTTAAATATTTCAAACAATTTTCATTATTATTTAATTTCACATAGATTAATCCGATCGTATATAATGTATCAACTAATTCCCAGTGTCGGTCTTGTCGTTGTATTTGTTCAAGCTTCTTAAAAATACTTAAACACAAATGTAATTCGTTTTGTTGCCAGCAATATTTTGCAAGCTTTTGTAAATATTGCTTTTTTTCATATTGTTGATTTTGTTTGAAATTAATCTCAATTGATGGCAGCATTTTTGAATAACAGTGTTCGAGCACTTCTATAGCACTATTTTTCGAACAAAAAATGAAAATATTAATAGCTTTGAATCCTATGTCGATTAGGGTACAATATCCAGGTGTATTTATTTGTAAATCTATATATTTGTTATAATAATCAATGGCCTGATCCACAAAGCTTAATAGTAAACTTAAATCACCCAATTCTCTCAAAGTACAAACTTTTCTTGTCACCAATGAATCGTCGCGTGCCTTTCCTTGCTCAACATTTGCATTACTGTTGAAATACTGATGTTCTTCGGCTTGAACAATCACAGTATTGTCTAGCATAGATAATGCTTTTTGTTTAAACAAAAGCGATTGTTCAAGATTGTTTATACTCTTATAAATATCTCCAATCTTATCATAAGCTCTATATAAGTCCCACGGTTGAGCATTCGATTGTAAATCGATCGTTTTCGTGGCATACAACGATAGATCGCCATAATCTCCATCTGGTACTCGACTGCATGCGTAAATTAATTGGTTTAAACTTTTTAAAAGTTCTGGATGATCGGTTGGTAAAACGTCTTCCATAATTGTAAATGCATCTTTATAGTATTTAATGGCAGTTTTCACATTGTTTTGTTCAATATAAATATTTCCTATAGCCCAAAGTATTTTTGAATTCAGAGGATGTTTAGACGGTATTATATCTTTGAGTGTTGTCAATGCTTCAACAAAAAAGTCAAGAGCTAGAGAATAATTCTTCTGTGTAACATACACGAGTCCTATATGTCTTAATGTTATTGCTTCGTTTATTGCATCAGACCATGATTGTGTCTTGGATAAGCGTTTTTCCAGTAACATTTTAACTTCATTTAAGCATAATATAGCACGATCGCTATCTCCCTTTGCTCGGATAGTAGCACCGATACTGATTAATGAGTGAACAAGTCCTGGATGATCGGTCGATATTGCCATTCGTAAATCATATGCAACGATGTATTCCTCGACTGCTTGTTTATCTTGTCCCTGATGAAGATAAGCATCACCTAGATAGTTGTGTATCGATGCTTTGAATTCATCGGTAACATTGTCAGGGATTGATTTTAGTAAAGCGTTAAAATAAGCGGCTGACTTCTGAAATTGACCCATTTGATCCAATAAATGACCGAAAATTAAAACAGGTTCCGTTTCATTGATTTGAATCTTTACTAAGGCTAGATAGTCTTGTACAATAGTGTAACCTTCATCTGTAGCTAACATTATTACTTTCCACTTCTGTATCGTAGAATCGAAACCGACACTGTGAAGTTTAAAAATGGTGCCTAAATTGAACAAAATTTCGTTTTCTTTCATTCTACTAAAACCATTAGTTTTTGCAAAAGTGACACGTTTTAATTGAGAATCAACGACGATTTCAATTAGTATGTGTTTTTCATCATCTGTATCAATTGATCCAGCGGTGAAACCCAAAGCCATATCACGATCCTCTGTAGTAGAAAAAAAGGCATTTGTCGAAACAAGGGTACCAGTCTGTTTTTGCAATTTATCCAACTCTGACTTCCATATTCGTTGACCACGGTAGAGACTAGAGGGTATTGAGGCAGGTAATGATTGCTGATATTCTCGTTCGAGCTGATTATATAAATCAACGATATAAAATCGAAAGGAGTCATCCATTTAGGACTTAGTGACCTCTCTGCTCTACCATAACGAATGTTAGTTTACTTTCCCCATTTTCTGCTTGACGACCAGCTTCAGAGTAGCTGCTTCTATCAACTTTAATAGTTTTGTGATGTTATTTTCTTTTGTGAAACAAGTGGTATTGATTTATTTCCTCATTCTGAAATAGGCAAGTTTGAGAGAAAGAAAGTGGAAAGTACAGAGGAGAATGAAACTTGATTGCTGACTACTACGGACATGGAAATGCCGGGTTCGATACTAAATCGTTGAGAACACTCGTATCTAAACTTATGTGAATAGTAACTTTAAAATGGTAGAAAGGTTGTACAGGGCAATATGCCCGCATTTACAACAGGCAGTGTACTTGATGGTTTCTACATTCGAAATTCTGGTACGTCTTTCAGTCATGGGACTAAGGACATGTGGTAGCCAGTTACCGATGGATTACCGTTTTTTTATCACGTTAAAAAGCTATTACCGTTGATTTTTTTCCGATAATTCTTTTTACTGTTGTCTTGTTTCAATAAACGTTGTTTATTTCCCGAAGGACCGTATATTATATAATCAATCTTGGTGGGAGATTTTAGCGGAAATATGAAGATCTTTAATTTCGCAGTTTCATCGTCACTTGAATCCCAACCATTATTCAGTACGTCGTTTTTCGAAGCGGAGATTTTCCATTTTATATTGGTTGTTTAGAAGTAGATAAACTATGTATTTTCGAAGCCACTTGCGCACTCAGTTTTTCACGTAACTCTGCTACTGGGAAACTGAGTGCGTTATCGTTTAAAGGGAACTTCAAAACGTTATAACTTTTTGAGGAAAGTCGTGGAGAGTTGCGCAACGTTTCATTAAAAAGAAGATTCATAGTTCTTCAAAGCTCGATAAACATTAGAAAAAGCAGCAACAGCTACTGGATATACCATTTGTAATTGAAAAAAATATACATTCAATCAAATGGGCTCAAAAGTAGTTTACATATATAAAACTCGACGTTTCGAAATTTAAAATTTCATTATCAAGAAAAATCACAATCGAGTAGCTGTTGTTTCGCTTAGTTTGTTACTGAAATTATTGCCCTTACAAAGGCAAAATGTTAATAATTGTTAGCGATAAAAAATGAAAAGAAAAGTCCGATACAAAACATTTTTCCCTTGTATGAGTGTTGTACTATTCTTTTCATTTCTTTTCCGTTTTATTTCGTTCATAGTCAATCAGACTAGGAAAATAAAAGTAGCTAACATATGATAGTACAATATTAACAACTTATATCAAAACAATTACAATAATGAACTCGAAAGTCTATTTTCATTAGAGTGGAAATACTATCAGTGATCAGATCGCAATTAAAAATAGTAAGAATTAACCGGTTATCGCTCATATTCAGTCATAGGACTAAGAGCTTACGACTTTTACTCAGGATAATGGTTATAGACTGATCATTAGCTGGTTCTCGTTGTTATTACTTCGTCATTCGTTCGACAAAATAAAGCCAAGTAAACCAAAAGTTCTTTGAAGCCAGGGACATTTGTTAACTTTTTCAAACGGAGCACTTGTTGTTGACCAGAGAAACAAAGGCCAACTATATTATATGTTCGATTTCTGTTTGTTCAGTTTCGTTTTATCACGCACTCTTCATGTCCATACTGTTCTCTCCATGGTGGCCAACAGCTTAAGCCATATGTCCTAAGCGGATAACCCTGAAAAGATACAGGGCATCGATATTTTCCGTCCGTAGTGCTTGATTCACCATTCTGTAAATGAATGTGTCTCGTGTATACCACGATATAGCCATGTCTGCATTGTACGTTCGGCGAAATTCTTCGATACGAGTTAACTCTAAACTGTTATCTCTATAATAATTTGTACAATGCTCTAACATATCTTCTTGTGATTGTGCTGTCTTTGGCATTTGTCTCAGTACATAAAGCAACACTTGAAACCAGAAAAATGAACCAGTATTTCTCCCTAAAGTATGCTGTTTTTTATCAAAAAATTTAAATATTGCCAATTGTTTTATCATTAAATGAGCATGTTTCTCAACAGATTCAATCAAATCTTTAGTGTTATTGTAAACACCAACAAGCTTTTTAAATTTCGATGATAATAATAAATGTTCATAGGTCGCTTGGTTGAAACAAAATATGAACACAGAATCAACATGTCGGATACAATCTACCTTTAAAAGAACATTTTCAGATAGTGAACCGGCCACTATAAGAAATAGATTTGTTTTGTCGTTGTTTTTCATATAACTGTCCCATTTATCAACGTCATCAAAGGTAAGAACATTGTTAGTTAATTGATGAAGATGTGTCAGTGTTCGTTGGATATCAGTAGTAACGTTGGACAAACCTCTGTCCAACCAAATCAATGTAAAGTCAAGAGGATCATTGAATTTTTCAATGACATTAGCATTATCACTAATTTCGTTTGCCTTCGGAAGTACTGCATGCTGCATGACTTATTCAATCTGCAACAAAATTAAACTACAAGATAATTACACTACTTTTCTGTAAGAGTCAGATTGTCTCAAGCAAGTAAAAACAGTTGCAGTGTTGGATCGGGTCAAAATTTAGATCCTAAGTACAACTCAGTGGTGTAAGCTTATAGTAAGAATTTCAGCTTTTAAGTTGACTTCCATCAAGAGTTATAGGCGTCGAAAGTTTTCCATATGTAGCATGGAAAAAAGATCAAATTTCAAGAAAAAATCTTTTTTTTCCCATTTTTAACTATTCCGAAGAACAGAAAAGAGTCCAGGCATATGTAACAAACTATGGGTCATCTTCTGAGACTGGTCTTAATCTCTTTCTTAAAGTTCGGATTTACTGGTGGGTCTTGAGATACAGTTTTTCCCAGTGTATTTATACTTTTGGCGAAATTTTTCCATATACTAGGCTCATAGGTTTACCAGGAAAGTATAAGAAAATGGAAATAGCAACACGATTGCTAAAATTCTTACTATAAACTTACTTCACTGAGTTGTGCTTAAGATGTACATTTCAATCCAATCCGACACCACAAGTGTTTTCACCTGCTTGAGACAATCTGACTCTTACAAAAAATGGCTCTTAAAACGTTACTTGCAGAACATAAGTGACATGTGTATCTTGTTCCTTCTATTCGTGATATTTTTTGTTTTGATACCACTTTCTTTTGAGCTCTTTTTTTAACAGAAAATAAAAAAGGGGGTAAAAAGATGACACAACAAACGTGTGTTCTTTTATTGTTGTTCCATAGCATATAGATACTCTAGAGTCGTAAAAAGTTTAAAATCCTTTACGTAGCTTTTGTGTATGGTGCTTGAGTTCACCGTTCGCAACTAATAATAAAATGGAAGAAAGCAGGTACAACACCAGCCAAAATTATTGCATCATTTTTATTGGTTTGCACATTTACTACAGACCCTTTTTGGGAAACAGAAAAGGAGTCTGCTGTAACGGTTTGTTCTGCTATTTTGTGATTTCCTCTTATGCTCTGTTCTGATAATATGTTGACTCTGCTTAGTAAAAATTTTAAAGTATTTTTTACAGAAATATTAATATTCTAGTTGTTAAGATCTTATGAAGACTAATACAATTTTTGCAACTGTGCGAATTGCATATGGTCTCCTTCTACCTTTTCCAGAATATTTTTCGCCGATCATACGATCTTCTCTTATGCTTGTAACAAATTCTAATCTCAGAATTATTTTCCGTCTTCAATTTCAGACCTTTCTAGAGATAACTACGAACTAGCTTTATATGAATTACTCAATTTTCAAAAACTCAAAATTTGACTTTGGTATAAAAATCATGAAATTTCGATAAAATTAATTTTCCAAGATTTTTCTTGGTAGACCTATGGGCCTAATATATGGAAAAATTTCGCCAAAAGTATAAGTAAGCTGGGAAAAACTCTATCTCAAGACCTCTCTATCTAGTGCTTAAATTTGCTAGTGGCTAGCGAATTTTTGAGAACAGGCTACCTCAAGGACCTTAATAGGTAGAATAAAAATTTCAAAAATCGAAAATATGTTATGACATTCTGTTTTGTATGTAATAATGAGCTCTGTCATCGTGAATTGCCCTGTTCAACTTTTTCAGCTAATGAACGTTTATTCAACAAAATCTCTTGACTCTACTTAGTAAAGCCTTAAGGCCGACTGATAACCTGTAACAAAATACCAACAAATTATTTAATGTTCAAACAATTTTTAAATAAAATTCATTTAACAGAATCAAGGACATAGACATACAGAAATTCTTGGTAACGATACATCGGAGGACGTTTTTCGTCTTTTTGATTTGTAGATAACACCTATAGCTAGGAGTTGACATTGTCCGACTTTTAAATTATGCTTCTATTTTTTTATAGAAATGAGGATTTCTGAGAAACCTTCCAAGGCTTTTCGGATTTTAAAGTTCTATTAAGCACCAGAAATCAGTAAATGATAAATTCAAAAATCCGGCCCTATCAACTCTCAGGCAGAGATGATTGCTACAAAACAAAAACAACCCGAGTCCTCCATTTACCTGGGATGAGAATTCCTGTGCGTGGTAGACGCCTGTTTTTGACCCTAGTTGTGATGCCCTCTCACGAACAGTTGCAAATGACGCCAAAAAAAAAATTTCATTACCACACTTTGACATGGTCAACATTCCCTGAAAGTTTGATTCAGATCAGACCTACCTGGGCTGAGATAGATTTCTGACCCGGAGGGGGGGGGCGTAACAGTACTTTTGTAAAAACCGATAAAAAATAGACAGATTCAGTGTACATCTGCAGTTAACTTGCGTACATCCGACGCCTATTTGGATAGATAATTATCTATCCGGAGAGCTGTCCCCATGTGCATAGTTAGATCCGTCCCGTTGAGAGCTGTCGATTCATGTACAGAAATACTATTTTTAATTCAATTTTGACATTTTTATAGCGAAAATACTAGAAAAACGCCCGACGGGACATTCTCGCATCAAAAAGGGCGTTTTCTCAGTCAAACTGACAGATGAAGACTAAGGTATTTTCATCGTCACTCGGTACACATACGATGTAAATATCTTTGTCTAGAGTGACTTGGTCGGACAACATTAAAGCATGACGGGACACTTAGTGGAAAAATTCATAGTAAAAACGCACATATTTTCCCTTTCTCCTTTACTAAGGAAAGTCTTTTTTTCAGAAGATTCCTGGCCACCCCAGCTACCTTTTGGCTAAAAATTGACTTTTAGTCAAGGCTATAGGGCTAAATATACTTTTAAAGTGTAACGGGACGTTTTTAGCTTTTTTGTAGTCGCGTGCTTTTTCGATGCTCATAGCCAAAATTAATTGTTTTCAACATTAAATTATATAGTTTTGAAGCACAAACTGTCCGCTGTTCTATCGTAAAAAAACGTTTGAAAAAGATCTAAAACCAAAGTAGAGCAGATATTTTTTAGGAGCCACTATAACGTCTCCACGTAAAAATTTGACTTTCTTTGTAAATATGTCGAGATCGACTATAGATCTAGCCGTGATTTTAGCAGCATAACTAAAATGAAGTGTTGCATAAAAAGAAAATTTATCAAATTTAAATGCGAGGAACATCAAATAGAAGCTTGACCATGAACTGGGGCCAAACGGTACACGCAGTAAATAATCTAACGTATATCATACACAATAGTCACACATTCGTCGTTATCACCGATGGCTTAGTCGAGCTATATAAGAGTAAAGCCTCCAGGTTTTTTGTTCGAACTGAAAGTAGCAATCACTTCACTTCATTTTCTAACAAGAGTTGATAGACAGCAGGTGGGCTATAAATGTATGTTTTATTTGCAACATACTCTCGCCGGTTAGACCTTAGAACGCTGCCCAGTTTGTTATTCATTATATACTAAATACTGAAAAGAAAAAGGAGTTTTATGTTCACCAAATCTGAGAAGGAGCCATTTTAACAAAAGAAAGCTGAAATCATACCAGTTAGGATTCTAGAATATTCTGTGTGATACCACAAAAAAGGATATAGTCGGATAGAACTAGGTAGAGTGGTGTCAACTTACACAGTTCTGCGGAAAGTTACACAACTTGCAGAATTCAGAGTATCGCTACTCACTATCATGTACCTTTCCTCAGTATTCTGTCAGATTCTAGTCCAGTTCTGGTAGAACCAGAATTGAAATTCTGTCCGAATTCAACCAGAGTCTGAATAGAATCTTAGGAACAGCATACCTTTGAATGTGGCGAATTCTGTCAGTTCTAGTAATTTTCACGGAATTGTAGAACTGGACACCGCCGGCCTTATATCGTAAACACATAAGGAGATCACATATTATCATGTTTAGAAATATGACTATTCTTTGCCCTTTCGGTTCTAGTAACTCCACATGTCCGTCATGTCTTTCTCCACTTTCCTGACGTCATGCTATGTCCTGTTCAACTGAGATCATTACTCCTCTCCATCTGTGTCTCGTACGTTCAACTGTCGGAAATTTTATATATAAATAGCTGTATTTTTCAAGTGTAAAGAAGTGTGTTAACATGTAATTAGTAAATAAAGTGCGGAAAATAAAATATATTATTCAAGGTTATATTCGAGAGTATAACAGATTTGTTATAGAATTGCAGAAGACAGTTCGGCGGCTCGAATTTATATTCGAAAATTAGAACGTCACTGTGCTATCGGTATCTGACGAACTGCTTTTCTGTAGAGCCGTCACGTATACCTTCTCCATATGGTCCTTGGACTCATTTAATAGACATCCACACTGATTCCACTTCTGAAAAAAGATAGCAATTTCTTTGATTTCTGAGTGTAACTTACTGTGCTTTGCATCATTAATAATCATTAATAAATTATTCGAATAAATTCTTAATGCTCTACTATCTAAATTATCTCCTAAACCACTACATTTATTCCATGTAAAAGTAGCAACACCAATCGGTGCATAACAATCTGTAATATCCAACGATTTATATAAACTAATCTGGATAGTTTTATATCATATCTGATCTGATCCAGTATCCAATATGATTTTCTCAGTAGTAAACTCCTTTGCTCCATGTTGCGTTTGCATATATATAATGATAGGAGGGGCATTCACGGGCAGCACTTGCTTTTAACCCATCTTCTGTTATAACAACACCAGAATGATGAATTTTGAATGAAACAAAGCTGTTCCACCGAAATTTTGTCCCCATCTGGTGTTTGCTTTCTGATCAGTTACAAAAGTGATTTGATTTGGTAATATTCCACTTCAAGCGCTAATGCGGCAGCTTCCTGTCGGTTTTCGGTGATACAAATACGTTTGTCCTCAAGTAACTTAAAATAATTCTAAAGAAAGATGAATCGAATGTCTTTCTATTTTCATAAGGAAAATCCTGACCTGAAATGTGTTGGATCACGATCAATAAACGGGGAACCATTTTGTTCAGGCATTTTTATCCTACCACTAAACATGGCTGAAAAAAAGGCATTCTTCTTTTCTTAATGTCTGAAGTGTT